TGCCATTGACATATAGAAATTAATAACTATTTGAGAACGTATCGTTACTGACTTGGGTTTACCACTCTTATCGAAGAAGCCGAGGACGCGTTCCCTTCCGGAACAAATGGTCTTATTCTCCTTGTTCTTTTTCATTTTCTTTCGTTTGGTATACTTAGCATTTTCTTTTAACGTGAACTGCTATGATATTGAATGTAGCTTTATAAAATAAGAACTTTGAAAAAACCTTCCTCGAGGTTTAAGTCGATACCATATAGTACGAGCCATCACAGAAGGACGATACAGTATGTCGAAGAAAAAGTTCTATTCCTTCCATGTAAGAAATTTTCTATACTATACTATACTATACTATACAATGACGTTCTATTAACCTTTACGACAAAAGAACATTTAACGAAAAATCCAAGTGTCGAAATAAGAAGGTTTCAATGTTTATGTCGAACTGGATGGTACATCTAAATACAAGAAACAACCACAAAAAAACATGACATTTTGTTATCACTGATTCATCCGACAATTTGCTCCAATGAGTTAAGGTGGCTTAAACAATTGTGCTTTCGGGTTTTTTCTCGGCTGCTTGGAACCGAAATCAGGACTATTTGTTTTAAAAACAAAATTCATAAAAATGAATATTAGTTGGAACTGCTTCAAATTGATTACTAAAACGTTGTAGAGAATGGAATAATCCACAATCATTTAAAGTGATCTTTCTATGTTACCTGATGCTTTAAATACTGTTTGCTGTTTTCTTCACAGTGCTTTTGAGAGAGAGAGAGAGAGAGAGAGAGAGAGAGAGAGAGAGAGAGAGAGAGAGAGAGAGAGAGAGAGAGAGAGAGAGAGAGAGAGAGAGAGAGAGAGAGATACATATGCGAATACGTGTATGAAAAGAAGTCACTAATACGTCGAAGTCAGTTAAAATGTTTGATCGCAACTTTAAAACGGTTAGCATGATGATATAACGCCCATAAAGAAAAATCAACTAAAAGGTATGATATCCCGAGTTTAGCCTTAATGATTTTATGCTAAAAATTATTTGTCTATCTCTCATACTCATAATCTGATTTTGCAACTGTATCTATTTAATTTGGTTTCAGATCGTGGTTGATTTATATGAATATGAGGCAATGCTATATGGTGTCATCTTACGGTTCATTTTTTCAGTAAACGATTAAACAAAATTTGGTAATAAAATATAATCAAAATTGTATAGAGAAGTATCATTATGTGAATATATATCACCGGTTTTCTAAAGACATTTAAATCTTTATTAAAAAAAGATCAAGAATAAGAGAAATAGACTGTAGGTGTAATTTTGATGGAAAGTATACACTCAGCGATAAAGGTAATTTTCTGCAGTTGTTTGCCTTTATGTCAATAGTCATAAGGAACCATTCAAATCGAGTGTTCCGGAATCCACTTAACACTTGAATTACTTGAAGAACAAACGGATTTATGTGCGGTAGTTTTGCTTTTGTTGTAGGAATGCTCTTAAGGGTCACAACTGTTGACTTTGATTTTGTGGTCCTAAATCATCGCTACTGCAAGATGCGGAACAAATTTTGTTAGTATGTATGTATCCGTATAAAGTGTAAAGACAATGCTAATTCACAATTATTAATACACTGCAATAAGAATTTGCGTGATCACCTTTTAAACAATATTTGCTATCTGATTAACTACACAACTCTAGAAAGTATCAGCATGGCAACATAATCATAATTCAAACTCAAATTCAATAAAGATAGGGCTAAATATGAACAAAAGAAAGATTTACACGGAGACTCATGAAAAAGTACAAGGAAAATAAAAGCAGGTGTTTCGGAAAAGTCTACATGTAAATAGAACCAATATAGAATTACAGATTTAGGAAGATCATATAGACTCTCTGCAACATCTGCTAACAACAACGTTTATACAATTCAATATCAAACATAACGGTTTTATCATAATTTGGACATGAAAGATTCATTAATTTAACTCAAGTCCCGGTTCTGACCTCATTTTATGTGATTGTATTAGATAAATATCATTCATTTAGATTTAGATATGATTTCTGTCCTTTGAGTTTGTTTGAAAATTAACAATATTCCGAGTTGATGTCATCATGTGCCATCACGTCAAACTTTTATTTATACACAATAATTATACATGTATATACGTTTCGCCTTTCTTTAGAGAAGCCAATGAACAAAAAACATCTACGAAACAGACCAAAATGTTACCGAGGAGGACCAAGCATTGGCGAGAAGCTATCCCATAATTTCGATTACTGAATCTAGACCAGGTTGATTTGATGAAACATGATTTTATTTCACTCTCCACTACGCTTCCCTACCAACTCAGCTTAAAACCAAATAAAAAAACGAGTTTTCGTCAGGAGAGGAAGATTACAAAGATTGAAATTGAACCAAAACTCAAGGGAGAACATTAAACTGGAGATAATCTTGTTGCTCTCTCAATATAGACTTGTTCGACAAGACTTGTTCCCTTTGACCCAATCACAAGATCGTAAGAGACGAGGAAACATAAAAAAATCTTTGTAGTTTCTCTTTTCATGGACTATTTTGTATTTCGTTTTATTTTGCTCCTTGAATAAAGCATTCGACTAAGTACAGTAGGCTTTGGGTCCTGTTCCAAAGCTTTGACAAACCGAAGTTATTACAAATATCATTGAGGTGTTCTCGTCAGCCCGTTGCCAATATGATATAGCAGAAAGGGTTTGATGTATCTTGTCGAAGCTATGAAATCCCTGTGATCGTTCACTGTTAAGAGCCCGCTAGTAACCCAATATCCATGGACACCGGTAAATGCATGATATTTGCGTTTTCTTTAAAAAATGACCAGACATTTATTGGTTCAGGTAAAGTAATCCTCAGCTATTTTCCAGGCGAAGAAACTGCGAGTTGTTGCTAAAAAATCAAATATTGTAAATCTAATCAACTAACATCCAACAGCTTTTTAAAAAATTTGTTATGACAGACACGCCTTCTATTTTAAAGTGATTATGTCTTTGATAAAGACAGGTGCCAGATCATCATCAGCATGTCTGAGTGAGTCTTGTGGCCAAAGAAACCAAAAATGCAGTGTGGTTGACGTCTTTTGCATCTTGTTTCGTGCTAACACGCTTTTTATTGGCATTTCTATTAGTTTTATTCGAAAGTTGAAGTTTGGAATCTACTCACGTCTAGAGCACACCGCCGTATAATTTAAGGCACTACAATTCTTTTCTGAATTCAAAATAACCTATGAATCATTATTCTAAAACTGGAAAGACTTTTGACTTGCTTATTTCAGTATAATGTCGGAAACAAACATTATACAAAAGACATACATATGAACAGTACCTTCCAATACAAATTATGAATAAGAACAGCAACACGTAGATGTCTCTTCCTTCTGGGACTCTTGTGAGGCCTAAATTAGCCGAAATAAATGTTAAACAAACAAGATGTAGAATCACACTAATTCCAAAGACATTTCGTAGTAGTCAAAATAGAAATCAAACGAACGTCAAGTACATTTGTATTTTCTAAGCTCTGACACTATTCTAATAAATGAAACGCTGAATGCAAGTTACGGCAAGCTGCGGGACTAAAAGTCTACTAGCAGTGTCTATCATCTGCAAACTGTTCGCTATAGCCATTCTAAATAATATAAGTCCAGTGGTTTCGCAGCATTTAAAACACATAATGTACTATGGGAACATATTTTGGTCCCGTCACTCAGCCCCCTGTGACATCCTAGGGTCAGCCACTAGCAACGTTTAGATTATGATTCCTTGTGGTAGGGACGATCGCTGTTAAGTTATTTTTGGTAACGTCATGGGCGTTTTAAAACATTTTATATCACGATCTGCCGAAGTTTAGGTTTGACATTTCTTAACTTAATACTTAATTCTTGGTATTATCTTTCATTTTCTAATAACTCGATCAATGATGTTATCTCCTTTTTTATTTCCTCCCTTACTCCCCTCCCTCTCCCCACCCCCACCCCACCCTCCCCCACCCCCTTACTCCGTTCGAATATGAATTTCTATCAAAATCTTATTTTTAGAATATTATATATTCATGCTTAAAAATTAAGTTGCTTACTGAGTAGACGAAGAATGACCCAAATTAGCACATCTCCATTAAACGTGTTTATAATCAGCATAATTTACATTGTACAGTGATGTAGGGTATTTGCTATATTTCCGTCTTTAAAAATAAATGACAGCCGCAAATCCAGTTTTTGTTTATTTCTAAACTGATATCTTGTTTGAATTATTGACCATTGACGTTTCACACTGTACGAGACATATCTGGGTTGGATGAATACACCCTCATGGAATATTCAATAGAAAGCACTGTTTTAAAATGCTTGACTGCATATCTCTATATCAAATTCAACAACCAAGACATATTCATAATTGTGTATTGTGTCTGTGTATGCTTAAGCGCTAAAATTGTGTCTTTGACTGTGATCTGTGATTATAATATGGATTGATATAACATCGGTAAGTAGTAGTGTAAATGTCAATTAAATGAGATTAATCAGTACAGATAAGTTTGCGGTTTATCAATCTGATGTTTTAAACTAATTTGTGTTTTAGTAATCGATGTTGCAATACTATAGAAGGTGTTTCAGAAGCTTCAACGGATAGAAGACAATATTTGAATGGTTAAGAATAACTTTACAACAATAGATTCGACGGTTTGGACGCTGAAGGCGTTTTGTGCTACTCCTGGGAGCGCATGCCAGAAAGCAGACGACCAAATCCGTCTAGATCCGTGTTCCGATTGGGCCATTTGAAGTCGTCATGATGCTGCCAAAATACGATGCCAACCAGTGAGAATGAAGGCGTAATACAATAAAATTGTATATCGCTACCGTGAAGGTAGCTTAAGCATTACCAGGGAGGAGTAAGCACTGCCAGTGAAGGTTTCTGTGTAAATTTCTTATACCGGATCGGTGTATTATTAATATATATTATCTGACCTTTGATGAGTAGAAACTCGATACAGACAAATGTGTCTATTGTGACGCTTTTCATTTTGTGTTCAACCTTAGCTTTTCTGGAAAAGACACGTGTTACGGTCAATTAAAGCACCTAGGCATTAGTACATAGCAAGATAGAGTCGATTTTTCGTAGGAACACCAGCAACCAATGAAAGCGAGATTCCTGTGAACACTACGGGAAACAGCCATAGCTGCCTGGCTCTATACCTTGTATGCTGCCTCACCTAACTAGAGGCATGGCAGTAAACCTTTAATATTTCAGTAGCTCTGCTTGCTACATACTCTAAGCATGCGTTAAGAAAAAGAACATGTGGCATATAAAGCGAGTTTCCGGGTGTTAGTGTGAAAAACTGAGAATGCCTTCAATATGTGGCATCGACTGGAGTGTCTTCAATCTTCTTCTTTTCCTGATCGGTAAGTTTGACTTTTCTCAACTTTTAATATTTGCAGTATTACGATATTTTGAAATATCTATACTTTTAGTGACATCGAAACAAACTATATACGTTTTTATTCATGCTCTACTTTAAGCAGTTTCCTACACACTGATGGCTATTATTGCTGTGAATCACAACTACTTTATCTTGGTCTCATTAGCCAGCTATTTGTTTTTATCTTCAATAACGCAATATTGATTAATTGGACTTTGAAGTCTGTGAAATGATAATATTTTCTACAGTTCTGCTCGACATCCTCGTCTCATGCGAGAGAACTAGGGTCGTTACCAATATAGCAATATACAGCGGCAAACCACAAAGGATTTTATCAGTAGAAAAATGAATATTTTACGTCTGTCTTCATGAAAACAATGAAGGTGCACGTGTTTAACCGAAATGTATTTCACAAAAGATAGGTTTATTACCTCGAAGAATGAAACTTTATTTATTGGAAAATATGATTTAATAGTTGTCCGGAATCGAGATGGGAAACGTTACGCTGCAATAAACTGGCACTGCCTCAGTAATATACAGACTACAGTGAGTAAGAGATCGGTGTAATTACATTCTACATTAACTCGAAACTCCTATCGGTCAAGGCCTGTGTGCAGATCCTGGCTATTATATAGACGGGAAACACCCGAATTTGAACTAGATACTCTACGAATCAATATATTGAACGGTAGATTTAACCTACTGTGCTCCGTGTTTATTGCTCCGATTGTTCTACTCTTTCAATGAGCAAAACCACCAATTTAATACATTGTGTGAAACAGAGCCATTTCACGTCGCTACGGATGCAGGCATTCAATGAAACTGACATCAGTCATTAGTTTCCAATGTGTCTGTATCCTACATTCATTGAGAACACATAATGTTTACGTTACACCATCCCTATTTACCTTATCAAGTAAAGGAACACAACAGTAAAATATAATTCAAGGTCTGGATTAAACTCTAGGACTACTCTCATCTAATTCAGTGTATAAATTACGCGTGCTGTATAAGGAAAACATCAATGACAGGGGCGGGATGCACTTTGTCCGTTTAATTTTGACCTTTGGTGGCTGTGTCTCGTTTAATGGTGATGCATATGTCTTATCTGTGGAATACTACCTTTGTTAGAGCCATTAATGATGGGAAGGCATTTTATTTGTTAATGCAGTTCGCTTCTCAACGTAACGTCAGCGGTCACAATTACACAGAGGGAGAAAATCTTTGAAATGTCGGTCGCGCATTTGCGTGACTGTTATTCGACTGCATGTGATTTTCTCGTTCACAGATTCTGTTAACTTGATCTTAGATATCAAAATCCCAATAAAACATTCCCTTTTTTATCGCATTGTTCTCCAACAATAAAAATAAACATGAAAACAAACCATTTTAGAGCAATATTTACAACTCTGGAAACAGAATCCCGTAGAGAACAATCGCCGACTTCCTATATAATAGCCGACAAGGTTTTACAAAACGAACGTGATTTGAAGTTTTCAACAATACCAAAATACGTCATAAAATGTCAAACTATTTTTTAAAGATCTTTTAAAGTCTTTGACGTCTTATGATATTCGAAATGTATTTCCTGTGGTTTCTAAAGTTAATACCATATGTAAATACACTTAAACAGACAACAGTTGTATTTGACAAAGAACAGATAAGACAAGGTACTTGTTCAGTTAGATGGAATGGCAATTCACTAAATTTAAACATCTGGACAGATAATATTTATCACATTTTGATGAACCTAATTGGACCCAATCATAGGGAAATATGTGATCAATATAATTATATATCTTCAAACATGAAATAATTCAACACAAAATAAATTATCTTATTGAATCGCAGAATTATGTGAATCCAAACAACAAACTTACTTTAAACATTTAAGAAGATAAGTTATCTTGAAATGAAAATAGTTCCAAATAATTTCAAAATGTTAAAGAGTGTTATACCGAACACTTTGCCGTTATGACTATGAATATCATGATCCGACAGATTCAATATATATAGGATCTGAACATCGGATTTGATTCACAACATATGACCTAGTAATATCAGTTCTTTACTCAAAAATATTGACTACTTGGAAAATCAGGGTGTTATACTGCTGGTTTGCTATACAGTAAAATCCCGATAAATCGAACTCCTTAATTCGCGTAATGTAAGGTATTCGAGTAATCTAAGGTTAGCAATTAAACCCTCAGGTAATCCTCACCTTTGGAGTTGATCAAATGTAGTCACTTTTAAAAATATGTTTATGAAAATATTTAGGTTTAATCTAGATTTGTTATTGATAGCAAGCAAATGTACTTGGAAAACGTGAAAATGTGAGCTCTCCCTTCTTAATTTTGAAACTGACCTAATTAGAAACAAACAAGAATAAAAACAATTAACATGCAGTGTGACTTTTATTCAAATCATATCATTAGAAGTCAGATACATAAGGGAACTCTTTTTTCATAACGCTACAGATAAATTTAAACAAAAAACTTAGATATTCAACCATCCTCTACATTGATGAATGTCATTTTGGAAAAAAATAAGTCAAACACTACAAAGTTTCATCATGTCACTTCCAAAATTTTATTCCCGTAGTCATTTTCATTGCTGGAGAGAAATAAACTCCAAACTGATTTACACATAATTTCAACAAGGACATCTGCTTTATACATCTGAAGTGAAGAAAGTGTTAGTGTTAGAAAGTATTCTGTATTGAGGACCATGTAACTGATATAAAAGCATTAGTATATCAAACTGTACACAAATTAAAAATTGACCTTATAGACGTAGGATATAAAAGATGGAATTCCATCAACACAGTGCTTTATCGGTAAAGCGGCGTTAGTTGAACTGATGTAAACACAACATTATTATTTATGTATCTGCACACTACGCCCAGAAACGACACAACAATGAATATGAATGAAAAAGGCCACCCTTACAGAGAGGGTGACTTTGTATTTATTTATGAAATTAAAAACATTTCTTACAGTTACATAAACTATAAAATTAACAAAAAATTTTATTTTTTTGGTAGTTATGATAAAAATCCAATGTGGACAAAAAAAAAAAAAAAAAAAAACAACCGCCACAATTGCTTATGACAAATAACGTTACTATAGAACAGATAATAGGGTGAAAGCGGGTTGGTAAATTTGCATAACAAATGCAAATCCACTCCACTAAATGAAATACGTGTTGCTACAATTAAAGATGGCTGCTTAATCAGAGGGGTCTCAACATCCCCGCGAAAGTAACTGGCCAATCAGATGACCGATGGCCCTCTAATTCAAGGGACAGAACTCTTAGTTATTTTTGGAAAGAAATAAAGGGAAATAACTAGTGTTTCTGATACATAAATAAATCTAATGCCTTAGCTGCCTTTTATGTATCTGCACACTACGACAAGAAACGACACAACAATGAGTATGAATGAAAAAGGCCACCCTTACAGAGAGGGTGACTTTATTTATGGAAATTAAAAAACATATCTTGCAGTTACATAAACCATAAAGTAAGCAAAAAACATTTTTTTACAGTAGTTAAAATAAAAAGCCAATGTGGGGTTAACAAAAAACCGCCACAAAGACATGACAAAATGTCTTCCCCGCAAAGACACAACGGTATTATTTACATCGGCGCATGCAGCAACATATGTCAGTGATTATAAGCATATGGTAACCAGATATGAAGAGGCCCTGCTGATTAGAATTACTTCAGTCGAAAATAAACTAAATCTTATTTATAACATATGTAGATCATAACGATGAAGGTCACTGATTGCCATCTTGTTTAACTGATGTAGTTTCAATAAAAATTATCCACGCATTCCAAGCATCAAGACCGCATTTTATTTCATATCTGATGATTTGTTTCCACTAACTGTTGAACGAACTACTCGCACTGTCATACATATGTATTAAATATGGTCGTAATCAAGCATGACGCATAAAAACGCCATAGGCGATAGTACTATCGCTTTGCACTAAGACTAAGTAACACCAATACATATCCAGATCAGCGTGTTCAATAATTTATTTCGAACCGTACGAGTTGAGTTAATTAGGACTCATCCGATGTGAAATACATGATTTTGATGTAATTATACATAATGATTGATCTACGCACACACGGAGTTATAGCTTATCGCGTAGGTTATTGGCCTTGAACAAAACGGTCGCGGTTCGAATACCTAGTAGGACATAGAAAGAGAACTACAAGCCAGACCGCGTTGTTACATCCTAGTAATTCTTCCTCATTACGATCCCCGATGGATTGATCTGTTTTTTTATATATATTTACATTTAGAGTACGCGAAAAATAGTTGCCTACATAGAACAAATCTGAATATTGATCAAATCTCAGCGCATCACTATTATATGAATTAAACACTTGATTTGATATTCGATATGTGCATGTATTAACCGATGTATTAGGATAACCATAATACCTTTCTTTATTGAAACTACCATAAGTAACATGTTTTACGTTCTTTACAATATAAAGATTAATCTTACAAAAACTGTCCGAGATATAAATGATCTTATCCAACATTTACGACAAGGCTAATATGATAAGTAATCACATTCCATTTTCATCATATAAATTACCAGCATTTTATTCAAAAGCTACATGTGTTGTATCATTTCCCCAGACACGGAGTCAGGTTTGCAGTCTCTAGACTATGACGTCACAATTTGGGTGTGAAGCTTATTCGGAACTATCCGCAGTCACTGGCCCCGATTACACTAAGCTTAAGGCTGGCTAGCAACAATTACACGTTATAACCAATACAGACCGCATACCCTTTACAAAACCGTAAATGGCAACTTGCCTACTTTTTGCCTTGACTAGCCATCAAGTACAGACAAAGAACCATCTCACTATGAATTATACAACTTCTGAGCAGTGAAACCTTGACTACTAAGATATTTGGCATCCGACACGCCGAGGTTAATCGTTATTTTCCATAATAAG